ATATATATATGTTATACTTCAACACCTTATTTTTCATCAATATGAGATCTTAGGCACATCTTTTTGCTTTTAATTCCACTCACATATTCTTATACTTTAACAATATTCCTATATTCAAGATCAAAAGTATAACACGCAAATCATGTCTTGTGGCTTTTTTTTATTTTTATTTTTATTTTTATAATATGTTTAGATTGAAAGAACTAGAGGGGAGAGGAGGATAATTTTCTCTATTATAAAAAGAAATGAAGGGGAGGGAATGGGAAGATTTTTCATTTACTTCATTTTTTCTTTTAATTTATTTAGTTATCCAAATGAAGGGAAGAAAAGGGAGGGGAATGGAGACCATTCTCCTCTCCTCATCCTCCACTTCATTCCCATTTCCCCCTTAACCTAAATATAGTATTAGTTAACCAACTTCTTCCATCTCTTTTTTACGTTCATTCTGTAGTGTAGAATTCTCTTTTGTGCAGCACTTACGAAATGTCTTAAATTAATATACCTGCACCATATTAAATTCACTTATAAATTTATTCCTTCTATCCCAAAATAATAGACAGTTTTTAATTTAAAATTTATTTAAAAATAATCATTATTTTTTTTATATTTTAAAGGAGATAAATATTTCTTTACTTTAATTTTATTAGTATTTTTTATTGATTTTAATAACCATCATATTGCAAAAAAGTTTGTTTACTTCTATCTTTTTCAAAAGTAAAATAAATTAAAATAAAAATTATTTTCAAATCTTTAATCTATAAGTAAAATTAAAAAACGTCTGCAAGGAGAGTATGAATTCTATTTAGTGAAACAACATCTCAAATGGTATCATAATTCATCCATTACAATGGGATTCACCTGACTAATTTATATAAGAGATTTATGTGTCCGTAAGAAATTAAATCTAGATCTAATTGATTTTTTTTTTTAAGGACAAAACTTGAACCTTAATTATTGAAAAAAATATTGAAAGGAGAAAAGGTAGGTAAGCAACCATTTATTTTAGATTAATAAAAAGGAAAATGATATGTTGACCCAACACCCAGGTGTGCATACTCCCCTTTGAATCCGGGTGTGCACCAATCAAGGTCCTAATAAAAATATATAGATAAGTACCGTATGAGAGACAGGGAGAGATTCATAATTCGCCTTGATTTTGTACTCTTTTTCTTATTTATTTATTTTATCCTAGCTGCTGCTACTTCTCTACCCGGGTAGGGTGAATGACTAAAAATAAGAGTTTTCTTATTTTTTTAATCTTTTGTGAGGTTTTTTTCTCTCTTACGAATTGTTTCTTCTTCTCTTTTGGGGGATTTTTGCCTAGGCTTTTTGATTAGGATATGTTCTTATCGAATGAGAATGGCAACTTAAACGCAATATTAATTAGATTCAAATAAGTTGTTGTATTTGTTTCGACTGTTAAAAGCATGGTTGGGGAGGGGTTTTTAGTTAAATTTTTCTGTTTCAACCAATTTATCTTTTGTTTAAATAGATTTTGCTAGGATGCGATTTAATTGCTAAATTTTGTGCTTGAGTCAAGTTGTGATATTTATGTAAACATTAAATTATTTGAGGTTTTATGTTTTCATGCATTTTGAACATGATCCGTCTTGCTTATTTTCTCATTTAAATTGATCCTGTAACCCTTATAACTTTCATATATCAATAAAATTATACTTCTCATATTAAAAAAAAAAAAACTTAGGAGTAACATATTCATTAGTAAGGGATAGGGACATTATTATTAATGCTTGCATGGCTGCTATACGTGTACATGCAAAGCAAACCCCAGGTATCTGTGGTCGACAGTCCCTCGTGAAGGATGACCCACTTCATGCAAAGACAAATTAAACCTGATTGGACCCTTCCATGTTTTGAGCTTTTTCTACAATCCCACCAGTGGTCGGCTGAGGCACCGCTGTGCTCAGCTCCGAGCAGACCATGGTGCTCGGTTTACCGACATCAATTGTGTGCTCTGATATCTTTGGCTCTTCCACCACCTTCTTGGAATTCTTTCTGTAGATGGCATAGAGAATCATCTGAAGAATTCCGAAAGTGAATCCTAGTACGTTCGGAACCTGTTCGACGAAATGTCAAAGATAAAAAAAGCATTAAATTAACAAGGGTTTAAGGAAAGTGGAAGAAGTTAAAAGAATAATTCTTGCTGTCTTTATTTTTTTTATTTTTTATTTTTTATTTTTTGAATAATTTTGTAAGAAACTAGATTCAAACCGTTACCTGAAGAAAAATGATACACTTAAATGTGGTTTAACGTCATTAGACTTGAAAACCCAAGTGTTTTGCTGTCTTTGTTTGAAATTTTATGGTGATGTAGAATAAATTTGAGGTATCATTTGTATTTTCTTAATAATATTTTATTTACTAATTAAAAAAAATAATTCTTGCTTATCAAACTAACTTACGGCGATGTTCTTATCGTGCAAACAAAGGCCATAGAAGAACCACATGACTGCTCCCAGCGTGAGGAAAAGAGATAAGTAAAATGGCATGAACTCGACGCTTTTTGTCTTTATAACTTTCCTCTGCAAAATATTTTTAGATGAATATATATTATAGTTATAACTTCCCTCTGCAGAAAATTTATAAAAAATAGAATGTTTTCATATTGATTTATCTCACCACAATGCAAAGAGGAGCAGCAAACACACCCAAAGAAAATGCCATGCAAATATATCCGAGAACACAAAGACGCAATCCTTCTTTAAGGAAGAGAGTGGAGAGGCAGATGACTCCAAACCCAAAGACATTGAACAATAGGATGAACTTCACAGTTACAAGCTGCCATGAATTCAGTATTAGGACTTGAAATAGAAAACTTTATTTCCATTAAGGAAAGTAGAAAGCCATTACTAAAAGTAAGAAATCAAAGCTAGCATATAGACTTTAAAGACATATACCCTCTCTTTCTTTGGGGCGTAGAAGAAGTAAGTGAAAATGTAAAATGTTTGTATGAAAACGCAGAAGGTGTTGATGGTGACGAGGAGGATGGCGTCCTTTTTGAGAAGTGCGTAGTATATCCAAAGCATGGCGCTAAATAGGGAAACCAAGTAGGGAATGGATTGGAAACCTTCGGAGGTTTTCTTCTTGTATATCTGGTAAAATGTTGGCCTACACCAAAAACATCAAATAATTTGTAAATTTGAAGCCAGGAGTTTGGATACAACAACTAGGAGAGAAGGATAAAAGACTTTTGACAAAGACTTACAGTGGAGCGAGCGAAACACCAAAGGAGACTAGATTACCTAAACGAAAAGGATATATATATGCATACAATAATTAGTTTTCCTCCATGAATATGAATGCTTGTGGGAACTAAACAAAGAAAAAGAAGAATTAAGATGAGTAGATATATATACATACCTAGAATGCCAAAAACAAATGCCCAAGTGAAGTGAAAGGCCATGTTTGGTGTTAGAGAATAAAACTATATATAACAAGTCCTGCTTTTTCCCTCTATATGTCCGAGAGAAGAGTTAGTATTTTTTTAATTGAGAAGCAGGGAGAGACTATATAGTATTGAGCTCTAAATAACTCTTTGAAGCCCACGATGAAAGAGAGAAGGGGAAGACAGGGGTTTATATAGGGAAGGGAGGGGTCCAAGTTGCAAGTTCCAATGGAACGGCGAGCAGAGGATTAAAGAAGTACGTAGTGGCTTTTCCTTTCCAGTTGGTGCTACGTCCATAAGCACTTTTATTCAAAATTTTGTTTTTACATTTTACAGAATCCAAACAAAGCTTGTCAGATTTTTGCAAATAGGGCTATTGTATCCCTAAATTAGATGGGCTGTCCATGGTGAATGCATTGCAAGCAGGCTGAGTCCAGCTCAGTCCTACTTATGGAGCACCATTCCTAGTACACAACACAAAATTTGTGGGTACCCACCATGAGCCTTTCTGATGTGTCACCCACCAAGTGGTTTTAGTGTTTACAACTCATATTTCAGTTCCGGGTACTTCCTCCTCTCCACGGCTCGGCGAGGGATGTAGCAATAAAGCCGCACCCCTGCCCGCATCTTTAATTCAATTTCTTGGAAAATTGATATTCCAACTGTTAATAGAAACTTGAAGAATTGAAATGACACGAGAACAAAACTTGTACAACACAGGACTGAAATCCCGCAGCATCTAAGGTTGTGAATCCTCAAATCTTAAACAATACGTTAAAATCCTGCTTGAAGATTGAAGAAGCCATATTATTATGCTTATAATTATTATAAAGCTCTTAATCCGGTACTTT